CAGGGATGAAAAAAAATTTAAAAACCCCCAGGTATTGCCTGCCCCCCAGTCTCGCCCCCCCCCACCGCTCCCCTCCACGCACCCCTTCCCAGCCCCAAGCCCCCGACAGCCACGGTCGACTGTGCGCCCCGTCCCTTTCCCCCCCACCCCCCCAAAACGAAACCAATGAAAAGTTAAAATTATTTACACTTTTAGCCATTTAAAAACCCAATAAAATAAGATTGCATATGTCCTACTCGGGGGGTGGGGGGGGCGTGGGTATTCGCAGCAGCTACAGCTACAGCCCGGTACTCTGCGTGCAAAACGAAAAAGACAAACAGAAGACAGACCAAGACACCGCACCATTACTAGGAAGCGTTTGCTGGGGTTGGTGTTTCGATCGTGGCGTAAGGCTTCTAGGAGCCGGCTCACCCCCCGGCCGTGGGGCAGGGGTGACCTCCCGCTCAGCCAGCGAAGGCCGGGCTCTAGAAGGATGGAAAGGATTTGTTAATTCCAGACACAGCACATTAACACTGACGCGTTTCCATCCCGGTCAACACAAACATCTAAAAACCCACTGCACGTTCACGGTGTGAGTCCTTCCTTCTTTCCAGTGACGATGGAGGAAAAGGGGGTGCATGAAGAAGACCTAAGACATAGATGCTGCTGTCATCACTGCCTCCTCCTCATCTCCTTGCTTTGGCAGCTCAGCAAGTGTGGGAGAGGGGGGAGCCGGAGCGGCAGGAGACTCTTGTGCCTCCTGCTCCTCTCCGAGCCCCAGCTCTACATCCATTTGCTCCAGCTCCCCCTGATCCAGTAGCTCAAAGTCATCTGCTTCCTCCTCATCCTCCGGTGAAGCTGCCGTCTCCGTCTCCACCGCTTCGGTCTCTGACAACTGCGCTTGGAAGCTCAGTTTCTCTTCGGGCTCGGTGGGGAGGAACTCGGAGAGGGAGGGCCCCTCGCTGGCCTCCGAGGACCGCAGGAGAGCAGAGAGGGTGTTCTGCACCGCCGTGGTGATGGCAGTGGTGACGATCTCCTCGCTCAGCGTGTTGATGCAGATGCCCAGGCCCGGGGCAGGGACAGTCTTTGGCTCGGCGTCGCCTCCTGCCGCTTGCCCGCTGCCATTGAAATGCGTATTTACAAAATGCAGAGGAGACGCCAGGCGAAGGATGGAGAGGTCAGAGTCCGCGGCCTCCTTCTCTGCCGAGTCCAGCTCACGGGCAGCGTGGGCAAGCTCAGGACCCAGAGGCACACCAAACGCGTCTTCGTCGCCCTGTGGTCCCAGGTCTCTGGAATGGTATTCTTCCACGGAGGGAAACTCTGCCAGGTCCTTGGAAAATGACTCCTCCGGCTCGCTGTGCAGGCTCTGCTGATCCAGGTCTGAAAGGCACCAGCATTAAGGCACGGGTCCCCTCACCTCGACCCAGGGCGCTGATACCACCCACCCACCTCCCCCATACACCAGGGCTCACTTTTGGGCATCTTCCCAGCTCTGGGAGCTCAGCAAGAAGGGGTCTGTGGTTACTCCCTTCTCCCCAGTGGCACAACTCACGCGGAGTGTCCCTTTTGAGGACTTCCTTCTCCAGCTCACGCTCTCTGCATCTAGAGCCCTCCACTAAAACCCACAGGGTCAGGAAAATTGTCCTTACAGCACATCACCGGCCTGTTCCTCCTCAGACACCGAAGTGACCACATCCTAGCAATTACCTTCACGTTCCTCACCACTAACGAGTCTTTCTCTGAGCTTGTAAGTCTGACAGAGTGGGGTGTCTGACCTGTTTCACCCAGCATCATATATAAGTGTGTGACTATACCATGCAATTATTTCTGCAGCACTTTGTGGATGACCTTGTAGATGTCACTCCCTTGCTGGAGTGACAAAAGAAAACATTGTCTTGTGGGCCAGTCATCAGAGGCAGATGTCCGCTCAGGACCAGCTCACGATCAGCCATGAAGCCAGGGCACACAGCACGGCTGTTACTGCTTCCTCCTTTTAACTCCCTTTCCGCTGCAAATAGCTAGGTTCTCTCCCTGTGTTTGGAGGGTTTTTTTCTGGGACAAAACACTCAGGGTCAGGAAGGCAGCGAAGTGTCCCATCACGTACCTTCAGAAACATCCGTCAGCTGTGGGGTGGTAGCCCTTGAGACAGAAAAGCCCCCACTCTCCAGGATGGAAGCCTCCTCATCAGAAAGCTCAGAATCTGTGATTGACAGTGCCAGGGCAGTCTTCTTCACATCCACCTGCACGGGATGAAAGTGCAAATTCCTGACTACCAGTGCTGCCTACGGGCACCTCTGCACAAATCAGAGCTCTCAGGCAGAACTCCTTTGCTGGAGAGACTCTGCACAGGGATGGTAGACATGCACTGCCAGGGAAGGACAGTCTTGGCTCACACTGGCTTTCCTGCAATAATTCACTGCATGAAGCTTTGCCTGCCCTCAGCGAAGAACCCAAAAGAGCCAGCGTAAGACGGGATCAGCCTGTAGGAGTCTCAGAAGGCTTCTATCCTTCTGCCTCTCCTGGGACCACCATTTGGCAAAACAGCCCTTCCCTCTTGCATTCACACTGGGCCCAATGAAGCCTTCTACAAGTAGCAGCAATTCAAGTATCTGGATTCCTTTGGAAGCTGAAGCTTCCCATCCTACAGCCCAGCTACGTGCCCAGAGCTCCTGTAAAGGAAGACGCTTGGTCTGCTTCTGTAGGGCACATACAGAAAGGTCACACCTGGTCTGACTGAGAGCAGGGAATGGTCTAAGAATTCCTCATCTTCCCTTTCCAGCAGCAAGGAGCCCCTGCACATTACACCAGGAGAGCTGGTTTCTTTAGGAGACACTTACATTCGCAATGGTGCAGGTCAGCAGGAGGCAGGAGCACGGCTCACCCTGTCCTGCTCCTGCATCGCCAGCCCTGTGCTGCTGAACTCTCAATACCCAGATTGGAGACAATGGCCTCCATCAAACTAATACCCTCCTCCCCTTGGGATTCTGCAAAGAAGCGACTTGTTGCTCTGCTGTTCATTATCAATGCAGCTGTGCTCAGACCAGACAGCAGGGACTGGCTCCTGCACAGCTCTTTCTGCTCTTACCACTGGGGAGAAGCCTGACAGCTCTGCTTCGCTCTCACTCTCCGTCTCTGCTGTTGGCTCATCACCTGCTGCAGGCTCACTCTTCCCTTGTCGCTCTGTGAGAAAGAGGAGAAAGGTTTTACATGAGACTGAAGGAATTTTAATGCCTTTATACATCACTTTCCCACAGCTTCTACCATCCTGTGAAATTGCACAGGTTTCCCAGAAGCCCAACTGTAATCTGTTTCTCTCCTTTGCTGTTCCCAGGATTACCTGCCCAGTTGCTCTCCCCATAGCCCTCAAATTTCACTGTTTTCCCCTGCTCTGCTGCAGCCTTTCAGGTCACACTGTTGGCGGACCTGCTCCCCCATTGTCCCTTTGCTGGGGCTCCACCCTGGGAGTACAGCCCCAGAAAAAGTCGGAGCGAAGGTGGGTCCTTACTCTTCTTCTCATGCTTGTGGTGCAGCGTCTCTGCCTTCATACTGTAGTCCAGTTTCATCAGGACAGGCTCCAAACGCGTGTACATCCTCTGGATCAGCTCGTGGTAGACCACCAGAGGCCAGAGCAGAATGCTGAGCACTGGGACGACAGGATGCAGGGAGTGTGAGAGACAGACCAAGCACAACCCAGCCCTTTACGGGGCACCAGCAAGAAACTGCAGCAGGGGAAGCGCAGCTGAATGGCATTTGCTTTCCCATCTGACTGCCTAAAATCCTCATCCATGGCTGCTCTTACTCATGCCAAAGCTGCTTGATTAACCAGGTTTTCCTAACAGGTCTGTTAGGAAACAGATTCATGTTAAGATGAAGCGTAAGCCCTCTTCTTCGGCCACTGCATCCCAGCCCCAACATGCAATAGAGGCCATGAAATGAGGTTATGAAGACTAAAAATCAGCAAAACTTTTATAAGGGTAGCAGCGTAGAGCTGGTATGTAGATGCACTAGCAGCAGACCACCCGAACAGTCTTCAGAGTTAGCAGGGACTCACGATGCAGTGAAAAAGGTCTTATTTGCTAAACATGCAGCTTCTTTAACAACTTTAACTGAGAGACTGCAGGTTTCTGCTTCTCTGGGGCCCCACCAGCAGAGCCCCCCAGCCATGGGTGGGAGAGGAAGGGATGCTTTAGCCACGGTTCCCTCTCCCGACGCTGCAGTGGTACTGCATGCACACACTCACAGCCACACACCTCCCCGAGCACATTGCCTCTATTGATCAATCATCTAGCGCAGATCCCCTCTGGAAAAACCACAAATATGCTTCTACCAGCGTATTCTACCCAGCACAGTTAGGTCACGTTTCAGCTTAAGTCAGAGGAGAGAGCTGCTTATACTCACAAATGATGTAGGAGATCATTATGCCTGGAACATAGTGTCCAACTACAGCCAGAATCAGGCAGCCTGAACAGACACTCATGCAGAACTGAAGGAAGAGAGAGGACAAACAGAAGTGACAAGAGGCAGAGATACATCTACGCAACCAGTGCAGGGAACCCAGTTAGAGCAAAACGAGGGATGCTCCTAACACAGTCAGTACACCAGCTCTGCACCGAGTACATTCAGATGCTGACAGTCACAACTCAGACAGGCTGGCTGGGTTAAGCTGTAAGCATTAGAGGTTTCAAGCACAGGAAAACCAAGGTAACCCCAGACCCCAATAAAATGAATCAAAACTTTATCAGACAGTTCTTTCCGAAGTAAACGATCTTCCTTGAGGCTAGGATGGGATATTGCAAATTGCCATTTTAGAGTACATCTCCCCTGCAGAGCTCAGCACTTTAAGAGAAGCCTGTACTGTCCCAAAAGAGATAGGCAGCTGTTACAGAGTCACAGCTATGCAATAAACCAGCTGGCAGAAGCATTAGCAGAACCCACACTGCCACCAGACCAGGACCTTCCTCCTCTGGAAAAAGTGGAAGTATAACGGTGCAGCCCTGAGGGCTTGTCCTGCCTTCTCCTGGAGAGGAGGAGAAGTGAGAACAGACACCCTGCAAGCCAGGCCATGGGTTCAGGTATCGACTAAATACAGCAATGAAGATTTTCATTCATAATGGAAAGGGTCTACAAAACCTAGGGCCCTCTAAAGGCTTTTCTCTCCATGAATTCATGCTTTACGGGCATCTTGATCCCGGTCTCCTACTCCCTGTAGCTGGGAGAGTGTTTTAACAGAAGAGGAGTAATCAGCAGTGAGAGAAACCCGCTCCTTTTGGCACACTGTACCCCAGCAAGCCTGATACAATCCCAGTGGCTGGTCTCCCCTATTTTTTGTGATGCTAAGGCATGTCCTGTCTACAAACCCTTTTTCAAACAACACACGTCACAGCCATCAGAACATCGTTTACGACAAGTTTCCGTGCACTCAGAAACACCTCTGCATTTGGACTTGGCTAGCTGCATCTTCACTAGCAAAATAGGCAGGACAAGATTAAAGGGATGAATGGAGCCTATGAAAGGGGCAGAGACTGTAGGCTCCCCTGTTTTCTCCCCACTCCCAGTCTAAGAGCTTCCTTTGCACACTAGCCATTCACAGAAGGGGTTAAGTTCAGCTCCAGCTTACAAATACTGGAAGGAAATTGCTCATTACTTAAGCTTCCCATGGCACAAAGTCTGAAAGGAATGAACAGCAAATGTTAAACAGGGATAGGAAACGTAAAAATATTGATTTGACATTCTTCCATCTCCTAGACCACTAGCAATGGAAAGAAAAGCCCCTGCACAGAAGAGTAGGTATCTCCAGCTTACCTTGGCAGGATTTTGCCTCTTGTACTGTAGCAGTTCCTGCAGGTACAGCCTGAAGGTGACCCAGCTCTCTGCCAGACAGTGGCACAGCTCAGGGACACTGAGCAGGTGAGGTTGTGCCCCTGAAGTCACCCCCTCACTAGAGATAGACAAGAGCAAGAAGACAATTTTTGAACATGGTCTGTTTTGTTGGGAGAGGGAACAGCTAGACTGGGAAGCAGAGATCCCTACCCTTGACAATACTGACAGCATCTTCAACTGAGCTATGGAAGACGCTTGATTTGGAGATACTTTTTTCCTTTAATCAGGAAGACAGCCAAGACAAACCCGAGCCAAGCAGCAGACACCATGCCACAGCATCCCCGTGCCATAGGCCCAAGATGCAAAGCGGTTTACTCAAAGCCACACGGACAGAAGGGCTGGAGGTGCAACTAGTTACATGGCCTCCTCTGGCACCAAGTCGGAGGTAGCCAGAACGTGGTGCTCAGACCTACAACATGGCCAAGCACAGGATGCGAGTTATGCCATCACAGACAGCACATATGGCCTGCAAAAGTCAGCCTCGGGGATCTCCTCTCTGGAAGATTCTTAAAATAGTTCAGGACAGATCCAGGGAAGAAACCCACGAGTTCCTAGCATCAGAAGCACTTGAGCTTTATTGCTACTGAAAGAACACTAGGTTTCCCCAGAGTCTCCAACTGTGGCTTCAGAGCTGATAAGCAGCTCCCGGTGCAGGAGAAACTGCTACCAGTGTTTCACAGCAGGAGACACACTGTGTCTATCAACAACAGCAAAAAGGGCAGGTGAGATCACCACACTAAATTAAGGCTTCCCCACACTCCCTTCTCATCAAGGAACACATCAGTGAGCTTACCTCTCCCCTCCCGGCTCCTCTGATGGCTGTGCTGTAGAGAGAACACAGGAGATTAGTCAGCCAACTGCAAAATGCAACCCGACATTTTTACCACTTGAACAGAGCAGAGCTGGAGATGTATCATCCTTAGCTAGGGAAGCACCCTGGGGACCTTCTTCATGCTCTCACGCAAGCAGCCTTGGAGTTTGAGCTGCACAGGCTCCAGTGAGCACGCCTGGAGACTCGGAGCAGCCACAGCACTGGTCTCGGGGTGCACCAGCACACCTTGCAACCTGTGGTGACACACACGTGCAGGACACTCGTATCTGAGGTGCACCCTGCACCCTAGCACGTGGGCTCTCCACTGCAGGGACCATACAGTTTGGCCTGGTGTCCCTCCTGGCTGGGCAGTGCCACCCCCAGGGCAGCTGCCCAGCCCTTGCCATTCATAGAGGGCTGCCAGCATGGTCCCTGTGCTGGGCAAAGCCTCAGCTCCCACCTCCGAGCCCAACACAGCACTAGCAGATCTCAGCTGCGTTTCCCACCAACCAGTCCAGACCACAGTCCCTGGCAGGGTGCTGCACACAAATGCCAGAGATCTCCTGATGTCTCTATCCTTTCCCATGGAATTAAGTAACAAATAGCAGCCTTGTGTGTATAATTATCTAATTTTAGGGCTCTCATGTCCCCTGACAGCCCTTTGTGCCAGGCAATCCTAAGGTCTGGCAGTCTGGATAAGAGCAAGGGACTTTTTCAAAGGGAAAGCTTCTCCCATTCCTCTCTGCACCCAACCCAGTGATGACCAAACTGGGACTTAGTCCATGCAGCACCGAAAAGAGGAGCAGCATTTCAATGGCAGAGCTCACACATGATTATGCTCTGCTTTTAGACACATAGAAGAAAAAAAAAACCCCGAATATTTCTATGACAGCTGGAACTCATGAGCCTGGCTGCCCATGGATTTGGGAGTCCTGGCTAGCTGACTAGTGTCTGGGGATGCACAGGGCTCAACTAAAGCCCTTCCAGCAACACAGTCGTTACAAGTCTCCTGTGTTTAATAAGGCCCTGATCATGCTGTGAAGGCTCCTTGAGACCTACCTGACTGTGCTGGTTTTGGCTGGGGTAGAGTTCATTTTCTTCATAGTAGCTAGTATGGGGCTACGTTTTGGATTTGTGCTGAAAAGTATGTTGCTAATACAGGGATGTTTTAGTTATGGCTGAGCAGTGCTAACACAGAGTCAAGGTCTTTTCTGATCCTCACAGCACCCCACCAGTGAGCAGGCTGGGGGTACACAAGAAGCTGGGAGGGGACACAGCTGGGACAGCTGACCCCAACTGACCAAAGGGATGTTCCATACCATATGATGTCATGCTCAGCATATGAAGCTGGGGGAAGAAGAAGGGGGGGGGAAATGTGCAGTGATGGTGTTTGTCTCCCCATGTAACCCTTACATGTGATGGAGCCCTGCTTTTCTGGGGATGGCTGAACCCCTGCGTGCCCATGGGAAGCAGTGAATGAATTACTTGTTTTGCTTTGCTTGTGTGTGCTGCTTTTGATTTACATATTTAACTGTCTTTATCTCAACCCATGAGTTTTCTCACTTTTACTCTTCCAAATCTCTCCCTGATCCCACCGAGGGGGAGTGAGCAAGTGGCTGTGCCATGCTTATTTGCCAGCTGGGGTTAAATCATTACATCTCCTCTACCAGTCAGCCTACTGTCCTAAAGCTGGTAGGGACAGATACATCTTAGGTGCTGTCTGGCCAACGGCAAACCTAGTCCAAGAGGTTCTAAAAATCAGTGGGACCCTATCCCCCACACTGCACGTCACCACGTAAACAGGACTAAAACAAAGGAAGAGAGAAGTTCAGCGTCCAGGCTAACCGTTAGAAACCATCTGAAAAATGCAATGTGAGCAAAAAAGGGGTTTGAATCCTCCCTGGAGTCATCAGCCAGATGCAAGGCCCAAGATCAGCAGCGACTCCCCCAGGGAAACGCACAGAAGGAGCGAACATCCGTCACTGCCAGCACGCAGGGAGACTTCAGACTCGGGTTCAAGCCGCAGGGGAGAGCCGCTGCTTGCAGCTGCCTTGCCACCCTTCTCCCACGACACAGGCCACCGGGGCCAAGTATGTCAGACTCCTCCTCCCGCTGCAGGCGCCGCACAGCCCGCTCGCAGGGTGCAGTGGAGCGGGAGGCCAGCAGCCCAGGGGAGGAGGCGATTCTTTGAGAGCGTGACCCAGATTTCCAGTAATGGGGCCTGACAAGAGGAGTCGACTGCTCTCAGACTGGGCTGCCCATCCGCTCCCCTGCCCGCCACCGCGGGGTACGGCCGCCGAGGCAGCCAGCAGCACGGCTCACAAAGGCAGCTTGGGGTGAGAAAGGGATATTATGGAGGTTGCTCCACCCCTACGAAGCGGTTGCTGCTGTCGCTGTATGTTGTTGTTGTGCTCAGGAATCTAAAGCTGCTTAACCGCAGCACGCAGAAATCCAGCTATATCTCAAAGCCCCATCTATTACCTGCACTAAACCACCAAATCAATTACATTTGGCACTGGCTGGTCTGTGACAGCTGGCTATACTGGTTGTACCAGCTACTAAAAACGAGGTGCTGGGATGCTTGTTGTACTCTGCTGGGCAGAAGTGCCAGCAACACGGCAAGAAGGAGGGCAGAGGAGCCCCATTCCTCTCTGACTGACTGCAGTAATCCAAGCCAACCAAAATATGCCAGCAGAGGGAGTGAAACAGTTCTCCTCGGTTGCTTCTGAAGGTTTCAGAGACACTTTGGGGAGCTGCAGAACGTTTCAGCAGGCTGCAGAGCGTTCACGTGATTTCAACTATCTGGCAAAACACAAGCTGTCTCTAAAATCAACGGTATCTCACTTGCTGTAGCGGAGTAGTCTGCCTGCTGGCCATCTCAAAGCTCTGGAGTCTTACACCAGGCAAAGGAACAGCCCAACCACACAAAACCTGGAGTGTTTCTGGCAGGACACGTTCACTTAGGTAAGGCTTAGCTCCAACCTGTGCTGCTATTCTGTCTAGCACTGGTACAATTAAGCCAGGAAGCAGGACACCCACAGCTGGCCTCAGATCATCACTAAGTGGCTGAAATCTTGCTGTCGGCATTTCACACCGGATTGTGGGTTAATACAAACCACTTGACATACACCAGACTCTTCTGGGAGACCAGTCAGCCGCAGAAGAGTTTAGGTTACACGTTGGTACTGACAAATTATCGCTGATGGATTCCTTGGCTCTTACAGGTTTTCAACGCTTCCTCAAGAGGCATTCTTCATCTGTGTGTAAACTTTAGCTGGAAAGCAGGGGCCCTTTTTAAGGAGTACCAGCATTCAATTGCAATGCAGGCTTTGCTAAATCTATTCCATGCTATGCTCTCCTACGCTGACCAAAATACAGCTGCCAAACAATGGTACAGAAAGCATCCCTACCTGATACCCATTTCAGGAGAAAGTGGAGGTGCCTCCTAAGTCCTTAAACAATACTTAAGTGGAACCCCATGTAAAGGTAGTTACATATAGAGAGAATACCCTGCATGGGGACCGAAAATATGCAGTCCCTTCTAACAAGACCTAAAAAGGTGGTGTATCTTGCTTCTGTTAGTGCATCCCCGATGACAGTGTGTGAGTAACTGCAAAATACACGCTGAGGTTTTAGCATTCCTTCAGAAGTGATGTTATAAGCAGTCACCCAAGACACACAGAACTGCCACAAGCTGAGGTTTGTGTATATACGTGCCGACTCTTGAAGGTGTGGTACTGACCTACTTCCAAAAGCTCCTGGAAAGGCTTACAGGAAGCACTGAGGAGGAAAGCCACAAAGCTACAGCTCTGCTTCAGCGGGAAATGAGAGCCAGACAAGAACCCCTAAGTATTCAGCAATTCAACAGGAGGCCCCTCAGGAACGCAGAGCACCACTCCTTCCTTGCGGAGGCTGAGGAAACATGGTTCAGTGGACCATGCTGAAATCAAGGCTGTGACCTAACCAGGCGCATCAGAAAGGTGTCCCTGTTCTTTGCTGTCAGCAGCAGAAAAGCAGCAAGGAGTCAAATATGGGGAAGAACACCACTGCAGAGTGGCTCAGTGGATGTGCAGTGACTTCTTGCAGAGCTGATGATACAAGATGAGTCTAAACCCTGGTGTGTCACTTTGTTTGTTTTTCTTTTTTTTCATTCCTCTGCATCATATAACTTGATCTCCGTATGGATTTCTTGTTTCTTCTGTGATAACACAAGTTTTACAGGCCTTGTACTTGCTGGAGAGACTCTACCCTCACCTGCCTCAATGACACCATTCTGTACTGGACACCAGGCTTTTGCATTTCTGGACAGGTTTCAAGTGAGATGTTTTGGGTTGGCTTTAAACTATTCCCTTAAAAATCCAATGTGAATAAGCAGGAAATTAAATTGGCCAGTCCAGCTTGGCTGCCTAGTTACCTGAACCACACAAAGCAAACAGTTTCAAGACTACAGCTGAAACATATCTAATCTTATCAGGAGTTCTGTGAAAGCACCCTTTAAGTCAGTACCCTCTTAGGTCAAATAAAAGGCACCTTACAAACACACATATAGAGGGGCTTTCATTCGGAAATGTTCCCTAGAGTAGGGGGGCAGGGAAGGAGGGCCCCAAGCTGCCTTTGAACAGCAGCAGTAGATGCAATAGGCAGGTCTGGGTCCAGTGGTTTCACAAATTCCAATGAAGGAGGCACTCAAAGCAGACAGCAGCCAATCCACCCCATCATCGTTCTGAGACTATTCCTCTTGTTGCTTTTGTGTCTGAAGTTGGCAAAGACCCTTCAGTAACCGGGAAAGATAAGCCAAGTGATCAGACTCACTGATTAGCTGGAGACCAGATGCTGTTCAGTACAGGTACAATACACTGACTGTCCCCGCTGTCAGACCTCATCATCCACTCTGCTACCTGCCCCAAGGAGAAGTGGCTCTCATCTGCTCTGCCTCTTTCAGGGCATAAGTCCACGCTGTACTTAATTAAAACCAATACACTTCAACCCCCTCGTTTCCTTCCCTCAGCACAGCCGGCCGTATATGCTCAGACCTGGAATGATCTTTTCACTCCAACATTTGCAGGAGAGAAGGGACATAGCAGAAACACTGCGTCATCCCTGTCACCAGCTTCCCTGACAAGCTAACCCCCTTAGTCACTCACAAAATGAGTTACTCTCAGAACTTCTCAGCAGTGGGAGTAATTCTTCCCATGCCCACAATATTAGGGTACATGCTAATACTCTGACACAAACAGGCAACAGGCAGCACCAGTACCAAGGCGTGCAGTTACAGCAGGAACAGGGCTTACACGACCTATGAGAGCCATGAAGGGACCAACTGTGGCCATAGCCCAGCAGGGGGTAACGCTAGAACTGTGTCACTGCCTGCAGTGCGACTCATCACATACCTGAGAAATCAAACAGGAACCTGGGCTTCCACCTCTCCAGCAAGAGGATGCCAAGAAGGGACATGCTGAGGAGAAAGAGGGGTCTCAGGGAGGTGGAGGAAAACAACCTAGAAATGAAACGAGAAACTGTTAGGCAGGAAAAAGGCAGCAAGTTACTGCTCTTCATGAGCAGATACAGCTTAGTGTACAACAGAGCAGAAACACCTGACTGCTACCAGCCATTGCAGCAAGCACCGTACTCCACAGACGCCCACCCTGACCACAGCACATTCTCAAATGGCTCCTTTGCCCACCACCAGACAGCTGACTACCTGCCATCTCCCAGCGCTCTCCTCCCCTGCTCCCGAGCTCCTCCTTCAGTTGTAAAACAAAGCTTATGCTCCCTTGTACAAGTCCCTCCGAATCCTCAAGGTGGAGGCTCTAGGTAACGTAAATACAGATTGCTGTAGCAGAAGACAGTTGAGAATCAGCCTGTTTGCTGAAAACTTACATCCTATTTGTCACCACAAGGTCCAGCATTACCCGCAGGCAGCATCAAAACACATCCTGCACCTGCTTCTAGATGCTCGCTCTTTTATCGCAGATTTCTCCCCATTTAATCAGAGCCTGGCACTTAAAACGGTTTAGCTGCTCACTTGACTCTATCGTAAAACCTTTCATGTCCCTCACCAACACATTGGCTTGAGCCAAACGCCAGCTTACACAATACTACTCACACACACTCACACAATCCCACCATCAAAGAGTTTATCTCCTCACTCCATACAGATTGAACAGCCAAGGTCCCAGGGTGGCACTTGTGCCAGCAGTGACTGTCTGCACTCCCCCTTTTCTCCAAGCAAGAGCATCAGCACTTCCCTCCAGTTCAGAGGAGCTCTTTTTTAAGTCCCTCCAGAAATGACTGCCGGTAAAACGCATTCACCCTTTCTCCTTTAATGAAAACTCCTTTCCAGGAAGGAAAAGCCACTCCGCTATTTCACCTTGCCAATAACCAATCTCAAGTGCATCAAGCTGATCAGAGTTGGGGAGCATCTCGCCGTGCAGCGCAGGGAAGGGCTGTGCTCCCCACCTAGTCACAATCAGGGGAGGAGGACTTGGAGGAGAGATCTGCCTCACCGGACAGCACAGAATGAAAGCTGCAGGATTTCCAAGGGCTTACAGGGCCTGTAATGTCCTAAACAACAACATTTTTAGCCATTCTCATGGGACAACAATTCTGTAGCTTAACACAACAGCTCTGGAAGAATTTCCTCCTGTTCCACCTCAGTGGAAGGATGCAAGCTCAATCCTCTGTGGGATCGTAAATAATTCCTCCGCCTCTGTGATATTTAAATCTTTCTCTGCTGTCCCATATTCTGGGCACTCTTTGTTCTTCTCGACCTTTTTACGCACAGTCCCTTAGCCATCATCGTGCACCACCCCTGCCCTCCCATGGCACGCCTCTCCCCCTCCCACTAACTTCAAAGCTCCGCATTCAGACCTTTCCAGCTGGTAGAGAAGTCCAAAACCATTTCAGCACCTGGCTACCATGTATGTCTCTGATAATCATATGGATGAGGGAGCAGAACGTAAGCAGCCTCCTCAGAGCGACTTCAAAGGCTGTTTGGTCACATACTTTCCCCTTCTCTGGCTTCAGAGCCTGTCCCTTCCTATTCCATCTGCAACCAACGTTTAACTCTTTCCCTGGCCTGTTTTGACCTTTTTCTCCCGGGAAAGCTGCTGGCTGCGAGCGTTTTTTTTGCCAGCAAAACTGACTCACTGTTTATACAAACAATCAGGATGTTTTTCATTCCCATCCACAGCTGGGCTCTGCCACTCAGCCTGCTCCTGGTGCTGCTTCCCTGCCCGAGGGGCAGAGGAGACAGAGGAAGGCAGGGCAGGGGGAACACGCTCACCCCCAGAAGCGGGTGGCTTCGGCCATCACGTGAAACATCACCAGCCTCCAGAGAACGATTAACGAGCAGAAGGGCTTAAATAAAACGCCGCAGGGCTGCCCGCCGCTGCAGGAGGCCGGCGGGGAGGGGAGGGGGGGGGCTCACTGACCCTGCCGATGGGGTGAAGCCAACCGATAAAAACCAGGGATGCAAAAATTAACCAGAAACGTGCCTGGGCGAGCCTCCAGCCGGGGCCCAGCTGCGTTTTATTATCTCGGGGCAAACCCTGCCCGAGCCGTTGGCACCGTTTCCCCTCAGGGAGGGGCCCGGTTGTGTCCGTCGGCGGAAAACAGCACCCTCAGCGCCGGCTGAGCGCATCCCTCCTGCCGCAGGGACACGACACGGGCAGCCCAGAGCGGGCACCGCCATCCGCCTCACCCGCCGCCCAGGGCCAGGCGAGCAGCGCCCCGACAGCCTCGGCCCCGCTCCCCCCGCGGCCTACCCCCCGCCCCGGCTCACCAGAGGGCCCCGCCGAGCGCGGCGGCGGTGACCAGGCTGTACAGCGGCCTCTCCCACACCAGCAGCCGCTGAGCC